ACAGCTGAGTTGGTTAGTTTGTTATTCTTTGTCTTTGTTTTATATTTTATTGTACTGGTTATTTATTCGGAAAAAGGTTTAAAATTGCTGCGATTTATGGGTGTTGCTCTGTATTCTTCTTTTTATATGTTTTACCTAATTTTTTACTTGGCAATTCTATATGTTTTACCTAATTTTGATCTACTATATTAGAAGTGTGAGTGCATCAGCTGACACAGACATGTCTTCGTCGACATGCCGGCTTAAGCTTTTATATTTTTGCCCCTGTTTTTTAATATATTTTTACATTCATTGCCATCAGAGAAATTTGCAATAATGAAAATTTCTGGGGCATTTTCAAAGCCTATTTTAGATCTTCTGCTGATATTAACAGCATTACACCTGGACATTTACCTCTATGGCCACCGCTTAATATTGGGGTTTCTTCTTTCTCTGCCTTTTTCAGATTTCTTTGTATCTTAAAGTGATTAATCTGCTCTTCTCTCCCATGTGTACATCCTCTTTGTTTCCACAACTGAGTTGGTTAGTTTGTTGTTCTTTGTCTTTGTTTTATATTTTGTTGTACTGGTTATTTATTCGGAAAAATATTTAAAATTGCTGCGATTTATGGGTGTTGCTCTGTATTCTTCTTTTTATATGTTTTACCTAATTTTGAGCTGCTAAATTGGAGTTTAAACCTAATTTCTTTGGCTTTTTCCCATTGCTAAGCCTGAAATTCAACTAATCTTTTCCCACTGTGCTTCTTCTCCAATCATTATTTTTCTACTAACAAAATCTTCATCTTTTCCATTTTCTAAACACCTAGCGCTGCTTCATTCTCCAACCGTGGTTGCTTCTTCTAAAGCTTTTTTATTTGATTAGTCAGTAGCTCCTTTTTTTATTCACCGGTATGAACTCTTATTTTGGGGATATTCCCTTTTTTCACTGTGTGTCTTTCGTTTCTGCTTTATCTATTTTTAAATTTTTTTGATTTATATTGTCCTTTGATTTATCTAAGACTTCTCAAAAACTCTATTTATTTGTGTTTAATTATCATTGTGTTCAATATTTTTTCCCTTTGAGGACGGTAAGATAAGGGTTTTAATTTTCTGATTGGATAGGCCAAGTCTTTCATATTCAAGGTTTTCCTTAATTTTCTTAGATTCTTCAAGAAGTTTAGGTTTGTGGGTATTTAAGTAGTTTTTATTTTGTTCTGCACAAGCATGTTCTGCTTTGAATCTTTGGTCTTCGCAGAAGAAATACCAGTCATAATCAAACAACTGTTGCCAAGGGGATCCTGACCTGATAGCTGAACATTAATTAGGTATAGACTAATTGGACGTATTTGTGATTTTTATACAACTATTAATTAGGTTGTATTCCTCTATGCGCTCTCACACAGACCTCTATCATTATGGCGCAAAGGAGCAACTATGTGTGTATAAAGTAATATTTTAGAAATTATTTTACTCAAGGATACTACTTTCCCAAGTCAGTCTCTTGATTTGGTTGGACATAGAGTAAATAGTATGCCAACTTCATTGATAATCACAAATTAGTAAACAATTGAGATGATATTCAAATGTTATAGGAGTAAGCGATACAGAACTGGAGCAGAGCAGAAATAACTTTCAAAATTTTTACAAATACAAGGTAGAAATAGTTTCCCTGCTGAAATGAATTCCCCATTAGAGTGGAAGCTTTCTTTGTACTCATGCTTGCAATGTGCTTCATGGAAAAATAGTCTTTCTCCAACTGTTCGTAATTAATATTGAATTTCTCTGATGATTTTATATCTACTTTTTTTTTGTTTTCTTTATTTACTGCCTCATATTTGTCATATGGGATAGTTTGTTCTTGCAATTTTACGGATATCAATATGCAGGTTATATTGATAAAATGAAACAAAGACTTAGTATCAGTGAAATTACACCACTAACTACAGAATGGACTTGTAAAGTCCAGACTGTAGACAAATTTCAGCCTCGAGACAACAGAGATCAGCGAGTTCGTTTTCGGACAATAATTGTCCAGGATGAAAACGTAAGTCAAGTTACAACTATAATTGTAACATAACATCTTCTCACTTGTATTCTTCCAATAATTACTGCATTATTGTTCTTAATAACATTATAGGAGGAACAAATTTGTATAATACTCTATGGTGACGACATTATACGATGTGATAACTTGTTCGAACTTTTTGAGATGTATCTTATTTCAATTGCGAAGGTTAGAATTTCGCAACTATGGAGGATAAGCCAATACTTGTGAGTGATGTGAAAGGAACTAAGAAACGAAAAAGGGAACAAAGTACTCTATCAAAGCCACACTCAAGGTTAGAAATTCGAATACCATATTTTACCATCTACTAATTTTCTTAAAATGAATATTTTATTCGTACAGTTTGTCGAGGCAGTGCTGTCCGCTCAGATGGTATGCGATGTACAAGCACATTTTGACATATCGTACCGATATTTTAAAAAGGTTTAAATAGTTGGCTGCCTTAACAAAGTGTTCCACATTTTTTGTGTAAATAGTTGTTAGCACATGTTGTTATTATTGTTGTAGTTATTAGTACTGTGTGCCTATGTTTGTGAAGTCAATTGGTATTACTTTTTGGATATTGAAGCGGCCTCCAGATGTTGTGAAGCAACATCTTATAATTATGATGCATGTACGTTTCCGAAAGTTTACTACGTTTATCACATAGTGTTTTCTTTTATACTACTTATGTCTACTCTTACTATTTAACAAAAGAATTATAGATGTTGTGCAGCAACATCTTATAATTAGGATGCATGTACGTTTCTGAAAGTTTACTACGTTTATCACATAGTGTTTTCTTTTATACTACTGATGTCTACTCCTACTATTTAACAAAAGAATTACACATGTATCATTTACATAATTTTAATTTTAGTGCAGTTATAAAAATCCTTGGCAGCGTTTAACCACAATTCACTACCACTAAAATGTTGATAAATAAGATTTTTTCCTTAGCTTAGGTATTTATTACTGAGCATCAGTAAATACTTTAAAGTTTTATGTTATTTAAACTAAGTCATTGTGCGACGGGCTATACATGGACAACAACTAGCTAGACTATAATAGAAGTGTACATTAACAGGTAAGACAAGCGATCACTTTTCCTTCCGATTTAGCTACCTTAATTTTTTATTTGTATAATATTTATGTGTTTGTCAAAGTTACATTTTCAGACTGAAGCTAAATCCCAAAGAGCTTCAACGCATCTTGTGATAACTTATGAAGGAGTAAAGGTAATGTCCAAAAGATTGCCTTTTTTCTCTGTCTTCGTTCTGCTTCGTCCTCTAATTTCTTCTTTGTTTCAACTTTCAAGTGAGTGATGAATTTGTTATCATTGTTTATGAGTTTGTTCTGAATTATTATAAGCTCTTTGTTGTTTTGATAGCAATTTCGTTGGTGCTTTCGATTTTATGGAAAATATTTGTACCTTCCCCTTCAATGTTGATTTTTATCGCTCATTGGTGCTTGTTTTTTGGGGGTATCCCAGGTTTAGCACAGTATCGAATGTTAATTTGTCAATTTTTATTTTTCCTGATTATGCTTTCTACCTTTGTTAAATCTATTGTTATTCTCTTATGCTCTTCATTCCATTTGTTACCTACATTATTAACAAAGAATTTCTGCCATTTCAGTTCCTTTTCGGATTGAAATCTCTCGTGAATATGCTTCAATTTGTTCAGATATGATATTCGTTATCTTCTTTTTACATTGCTATGAGTAGATACAATTTCTGGAAAAAAACATAAGCTTTTTAAGGCTTTGCACAGTGATTATGTGTCACACCCTTGTGTATTTGTTGTTTATTTTTCTTCATAATGAAGATGATGTGCTTAAAGTTTTCAAACTATGTATTCCAACTTGGCATTTTTATAAAGAAGCATTTTACACACTTCTGTCAGTGGATTTGAGCTGCCTATCTATTTATTATATTGCCTCGAAGTTGTTCCAACTGCTCATTTCAAGTTTGTTGCCGTATAAACTGATAATTGGCTAGATAGAAAGTGATGAATCATCCGTGTTTTATTCTTTTGTTGATCGTCGTTTTCTTATCATTTACTTCATGTTGTTGATGCCCAATATGTTCTCTACATGTCTCTTTTTATTTGGTATAATTGGTGATTTTGGGTTATCACATTCAAAAGTTGGCTTCCAAAAATGTACTAACACAATAACTTGAAGCTTGAAGCTAATAGTTTATATTTAGAAATTAGTCACTGAGTTACAGCAATAACTTTCGCATTTATGCACATGTGCTAATGCATTTTTTACTTCTGCATTTTTCAGATCAGCTTACTGTCTCGGCTGCAAGGAAAAAACATTCTGCTTCCTAAGAACACGAAAACTATTAAGAACCTAATACAACCGGAAGAATTGCAGCACAAGAAGAACAACACATTGTATATTTTTTATTAGATTTCAAATATTTTTATTAATTAGTTATATTCTTAGTCTTCAAATATTTTGAATCAAACCTTCGCTTCACAGTATGTAAACAAGAGTTTTTTATATTAAATAGAAAATTAATAAGGTCCTTGGGCCCGAGCACTGCTTGGGCTACCGCCGATTAGTATATTATTATTACTAGTATACGTACCCACGCGATGCGCGCGGATCAATTCAAAGAAAAAGAGTGAAAAGAGATATATGTATATTACAGATTAAATTTAGTGATCGCAATCAAAACAATTAAAAAAAATAAATAGATGAATTTCATTCAGTTATCTCTATATTATTGTTGGCAAGGACTACCAATCCCAAGTGACTTATTAAAAATGGGTCTGAGCGTGAAATATTTGGTCTTGTTTTTGATCGGCAAAATATTTGTTCCTCATTATGAGTTAAAAACTTAGCAGCAGAAGAAGAAAAATTAACCTAAAAAAAGTTTAATTTCTTCATAAAGCAAAAAAACCAGCTAACTCATTTGGCTTTGCTAATATATCCAACGGCTTGCTACTTCCTTTTAGTAAGCTATCTGACAACAAAAAGAAAATTAAAGAGAGACCAAATAAATACTCCTACTAATCCATAAGGACTTAAAGTATACTTCTACATTAATTAATCAAATAAATCGACCAAGTTACTTGAATTACCATCAATGGAGTTTTTAAATACTCAAATATCAGGGGTTAAATTGGATAAAAACTACTTCATTGTAATCTGCTCTATTGAAGGCAATAATCTAGCCATACTCTTGTAACCATAAAAGCTGCTAGTGGCATATGGAGCCTATCTGATATTTAAAAATAGATGTGATTTTCTGGAGAAGACGACTTTCCAGTAAATCATCCAACATTTTGCAATTGTCTTTCCAATCCTTTCTTCATCAAGGATATCAATTACCGCTGAAAGAGTAGTACTTGTTTGCAAGAAATACTCTGCAATTTGTAAAAGCAAAAAAACGTGATTAAATGACAAATGATATATGACTGCATTTTACAATCCAATTTAAAACATAAGATTTACATCACCTTCGTCTATTTGGTTAATAGAATTCAACATTCACTGCTACAACTGCAATATCTTAAACATGGTAATCATAGTCCTATTTCTGATTATATTATTTCATATAATTGAGTAAAAAAAAAGAGACTACTAAAATGTAAAATGTGATATAGCTTGGAGGGAGAAGTCTGGGTAAAGAAAGTTATAACATAAACTTGAACAAATAGTCGAAGAGATCATGTCTAAACTTGAAAAGTAAAAGAGTAGGAATCCTACTATGGCATACCTAATGTTAAAAATAAAGACCACCACCCTGAGATAGGTGCAATACGGAGTGAAAGATAAAAGTTTAAGGAGAAAAGAATACAGACGGCAATATCTGCAACCAAGATTTACAGCAAATTGACCTGAAAAATCAAGCTAAAAATGAAAGAAGTTGTTACAAAAGAAAATGAACTATAGTTTCAGTGAGAGTTTAAAGCAAATTGATTCACCAACTCCAACCTATGGCAATTCTTTTATCAAGATGCTTTATGGAAAATCCAGTTATTGGTAAATTTTCTACGGAAAAAGTGCAAGCAGAATACCAAGAGTAGCCTCGGATTCACACAGTTGACTTTGTGGGTTTATCAAAGAACTTTTACGTGAGACTTATCCTCTAATTGTGGACGAATGGAAGGGAAAGTAGAAAGAGGGAAAATAGAAAATAATTTTTACGTTCGAACCTTGCTGAAGGCAAAAACTTGGTATTTAAATGAAGGGTACACAACAACTTCGCTTAAAAAGGTTAATTAGGAGAAGTATGTCTAATAGCTGCTATAAATATTTTTGTGCTATTTCTACAAATCAACACAATCAACCCCTTTTGTATTGTTTTACTTACTAATAATAATGGTGCAAGCCAAAACAACAAACACAAAGGACACCTAAAAGTCACATAAGTTCAGAATTAAAAAGTAGTATTTTTAGTACCTGTCCAAATCAAGGACTGGACTATACACAAGTGTTTCAAAGTAGCTACAATAAAATGCCAGGCTTGATTATAGTAAAGTGATTCTGCAAACCAAAACATCCTTGTATAATTATTGTATCTTTATTTAACTGATTAAGAGAGTACATGCATTTCATAGTATTCCGGAGATATATAATTTGCTAAAATTTCTTTTCTTTTAGTCCTTCTCATGTGTCAGCTTTATTCCAAACAAATGTTTACATTCTGAATTATGCCATGAAACTAATATGAAAATTTAACACATAACAGTTTGATTTTTATATTCAAATAATTCCATTATATATTTACTAATAATACTTATTCTAACTACTATGTCATACCTATAAGCAACCAATGAAAAGAACATCTGGTGCTACAGGTCAGCTAACCAGAGCTCGGTTGTAGCACAACCATCGGATGTTAGTAATCGATTTGGAACTTTACCAAGGGAAATTAAAATCCTAAAAATTTACTAAAAGATGTGTAACTAATAAAATAAAAATTATCAATGTTCCTTTATTAGAGTTTTCATTTGTCATGTGATATCATTCTGATAATTAGCTAAAATAAATGAGGCTATTCCCTAGTTCAATAGATTACAAAGGCAACCCCACACTGATGGAAAAAACATACTGTTAAACATGATAATAACATAACTAAAAAGGGTAAAAAAATTATAAAGTAGTAAAAATTTGTGGTAAAGCCTTAATATACTACCTCCATTATCAACATTTGAACTTAATTCCCCTTCATTTGTGCTCAGTTCAAAATTAGTAATTGCCTCCCTTCTGTTGCACTTTATACAAGTCTTATCGTACGTCTTGGGCCAAAAATCGTCATGTCAATATTGAAAGAGTAAACGACATAACAGAAAAGGGAGGGGGAGACTCAAGTTATGATCATTAGACATTACAGCTTCCATCTCGTTGTCAATCAGTCCTATAAAATCTGTATAATAATATGATAACATATAAAGTAAGTTTTTAACAGTTATTCCGCTGGTATTATGAGATTCCTAAGCTATGGTAATATAAGTTGTTAGTTACTTCTTACAGAGAAAGTGCAAAAACTGAGCTTTCCATCATCCACATTTGTGCATCGTGGCTCCCCTGTATTTTGCTCTTCCTCTAGAGGACCTAATGCTTAGACGTCGAAGTATTTGCACAAACTCTCATTTTCTGACATTAGACCTATACTTACCAAGTCAGAAGACCAGTGAGCCACAATCAGTTACATAATTTAAACAAATATTAACACTTAGGTGGTTCAATAATTATCTATCAACACGCACTTTAGATCTACATGGTAATCACAGACATTTAAATTGTTATTTGCATCCAGACTTGATCCGACAAAGTCTTTCCATAGAGTTGCAGCAATGTTATTGCTTCTACAATTATTATAAAGTTAAGCATAAGAATCAAAATAAAGAATTGTTGAAATATTTACTTAATTTAATAAATTGTGGCGAGCTTACTTATAATCTTGTATCTAAATGCTCATGATAATACGGCTGCTATCATTTTGTTTGATAGACTTTACGTCCTCATAGGTTATAATTTCGCCAATAACATCTACAATAAAATTGACCAAGGAAATATATGCAAAATTGGTAATCATTATAGACAATATAAATAAAGATTGTGAAAGAATTAATAAATTTCATGATCTACTTAAGATATAGCAATTAGTATACAAAACATAAAAGACAGAAAAGAGATTACAGAATGTTAACTGAAATTGAAAATTATATTCTTAAAAGACAGAAATCAGATTGTGATTTTCGATAGAGGACACCTCAATTTTACAATTACTTTAATTAGTTACAACAAAAGTATGTAGTTACCTTTTAGGTATCTATAACAATAACAACAGCAACAATCCAGTATAATCTACCTTGGGGTAGAGAGGCTGTTTCCAAATAGACCTCTGACATCATTCCCTCTAAGAACTTCTCACCTTGCTCTTGGGGAGACTCGAACTCACAACCTCTTGGTTGGAAGTAGAGGTTG